CCCCCCAAGAGCACATCACTACCCACTAAAGACATGTTGGCTAATCTAGTTGTAATCATATGAAAGGAAATCTACATAAATTTACATTTATGTTAAAACAAGTGATATTCTACTTCTACAAATGTATTAATTAATGCTGCTAAATGAAAAAGTGATTATTTTTCTTACAATAAGTTAAGCTCCATCCCTTGATTCTAGTTTTTTTAAATACTTTTTATTGTAATAAATACTTTAAAAGTTAATGTGAAATGACTTGACATTCAGTGAGTTTTAGGAATAAATTGTTGGGTCTCTCTATTAAATGAATTGTGTTAGATGTAGGACAGTAGGAAGGGTGATGGAGACAATTTTCCATTTTTAAATCTTTTTTGTCTAAAATGTATGTGAGTTGCATTCGTTTAAACCACCGTTATTCTCTGATATTTATCCCTGCGACCCAGAAAAGTTCACGAASCATGGATGGGAACCAAAAATTCCTCAAACATTCGGCTCTACCTGCGAGGTGCTCCGTGGTGCGTTCACGCACACAACCACCCCCCCTTCCCCCCTCGGAGTGTCCGTGGGAAGGAGGAGTTTAACCCCTTACATCTTCTGGGAGGAGTCCGCAGACTCTCTTGGCGCTCGGTCCGGTCCCAGATCTCGTTTGCTCTGGATGCGGAGATTTCGTGGGAATAAAATCGAAAGAAAAGCCAACTTTATGCGCGCGTTAAAAAAAAGCTCTCCCGTACAGCGCGTGCTGCGTTTAAATGCTCCGAGGTGGAAAACACGTGAACGCGTCGGGAGGTGGAGGAAACATTAACCGGTAAGTTTGGAGGGGAACTYGGGGATTTCTCAGCAAATAAACGAGTCCGTGCATTTGGCAGCCTTTTTTTTTAATTTATCTATTTGTTTAGAAGTGTGCAGTTTTTGTTTTCGTTTAAGAAAAGTTTGTGCGTGTTTAGTTAGAAAGCGCGTGYAAATAGGTTCATCCCAGACTTTTAGGAATAATCTCGCCATATGGCAGCAGAAATCCTACAGAAACGCGATTTTCCTGTTGATTATAACTGTCACGTTGAAAATTGTAGGTTTTTTTAGGAGCTATGAGTAGATATCTCTTAAAAAACGTCTTAAAGTCAGTTCTGTTTTCTCGTTAAATATTTAGTGCTGTGTGAAGTACCATCCATGTGTTCTAAATGAGTCTGATTTATGGATCCAGATCTTGGGGAGCGTCGGTCACTCCACTAAATGTTTGGCTGCGTTCAGATCTGATTTATTCTCCGTTTGTATTGTTTTTGGACCATGTGTTGGGAGTGGAAGTGCTCTCCAGGAACACAGAAAGGCAACAAAAGGACCCCGGGACCCCTGGAGTGGAGGGGCCAGCCCTGAGCAAACAGAACCGTGAATCAGGAGGGAGGGACCCGAGTGGTTCTTTGGCATGTTGTGGACCCTTCTGTCGTGGAAACCATTCAAGGGAAATTGTGTCTGTCCTGTTACCTTTAAATGTCACTGAGGAGGGTTGGAATAATAAAAACACGAGCTAATCATTGACTTTAAGAGGCTGGCTGGGTTTTTGCTCGTTGATCTTTTATGTCTGCAGCAGGAGTCTGGCTGATATTGAAGCCATGTCTTGGTTGTTAGGAAAGAGTCAGTTCACATGATTTATGATTATTGAATGATGGATTTTATGTAAATAATTTGAAAAAAAAAAAAAAAACCTGAGACGTTTATTTTCTAAACATGATGTCCCAGTGGCTTTCAAACCCCAAAACACATTACGGCAAAGGCTGGTTCACCCCAAAGATCCGGTGCCCCGGCACAAACAGAGCAATGTTGTATATGCTGTTAAGTGCCAGGAGGACTGCGACCAGTTATACATCGGGGAAGCAAAGCAGCCACTGTTCAAAAGAATGTCCCAACACAGACGAGCTGCATCTAATGGCCAGAACTCTGCAGTTTTCACTCATTTACAGGCCAGCGGTCACTCTTTCAGAGATGAGGATGTTCTCATTCTTGATAGAGAGGAACGTTGGTTTGAGAGAGGAGTAAAAGAAGCCATTTTTGTGAAGAAAGACCGTCCATCATTAAACAGAGGTGGAGGCCTCCGTTTTCAGTTGTCCCCCTCCTACAGTGCGGCTATTGCCAGTATCACTCCACCCCCTGTTAACAATAGGTGTTAATTAGGTGTCAATGATAGCCATGTGGTGTGAGTATCAGTCACATGGAGGCAGGGCTTAAAAGCCTGAATTTTGCCCGAAACTCTCAGACTGAAGAAGTCTCTTGGAGGAGAGACGAAAYGTTTCATTAGAGAAGAACCCGTCCAGAGGACCTATACAATTTTTTTCTTTTTGATTTTTTTACCTGGATTACTGAGATGCATCAGGACGTAAATAATTTGCCTTCAGTCAGGATCCAGTATCTGTGCACAGTTTGTGAATGCATATCAAGAAAAGTCGGCCAAATGTCTTATTTACATTTCTGCWGGGGGAAACCTGTCGTTTTGTTGTTATTTGTCTCACCAGGCCTTTCAGCCTCCCTGCCTGTTAAATGCACTGGTCAGAAATCATTATTTACTTGCATAATTACTGTTGTTGTCTTGTTTTTCCAACGTTTTCTGTTTGTTCAAGTTGCATATCAGTATTGGAAATGCAGGGTCAAAAGACGCCAAGAAGTGTGTATTTTTGTTTTTGAGGTTTTCATTTTTGTGGTCGAAAACAAAAAATCCACAATCGCAAGGAACATTTTGTTTTTGCTTTTACTATTCTCTTTCTCGTCAAATTGGAAGAAGCTCAAACCAAAAAGATGATTGTGGCTCATTATTTCCTTGTAGTGGAAAACGTTTATTTTGGTGTTTTTTAGTTTTTCTTTTTGTCACAACAAACTGGGAGTTATGTTTTGTAGCTGGCAGGTCTGTCACTTGTAATTGTTTTCTAGTGACAAAAGACAGAAGCGGCGCTCCCCTATCTTGTTTTAACGTGCTAATACTTCCACGGCTCGTCGTTTGCCTTTAAACTTCAGGGTTCGGTAACAGTGAAGCTGTGAGTTCCCTCGAACAGTTTGTTTTGAAGTCAGCTCTGTGTATGGTTGTGGGGCTATATACGGAACAGCAGCCTGAATGTTCATTGGTTCTTTGATGCTTCATGTGAGCAGTGATCAGGCAAGAAACTCTGATCTGTTCTCTCAACAGCCGATTGTGTGTGAGCGGCTTTGTTCATGCTAAAGTGGGAGCACACTGGCTGAGAAACACCAATGGTTCATGTCTTTGCCCCGGCACATTTTTATCCATATAAGGTGAAGTGCATGTGACCTATCAGGCGCGGATAACATCTGTGCTTTCTGTCACAAGGGGATGGATGTCTTTTTTTCTGTCTTTAGGTAAGAGGCCTTGCAGGGGAAACAAAGTATTGAATTAATCAAATTACAAACTTTGCTTCTTTGTCCAATTCCCAACATTCTGCTGTAGGATGATAATAAAATGCAATTTTAAGGCTTCTCTGTTTCCAGTAAAGTCAGGCAGCGTATTTAAGGGTGACCCACGTGTCTCTGTTTTTTAACACCTATATTTGACTTTCAAAGTGTTTTCTGGTAGAGGGAGGGCTTCTATGTCTGGAGTGGATGCTAAAAAAGTAGGTGATCGGAGAGTTGTTGTTGACAGCATCTTGGCCTGGACTTCTGAGTTGTCCTCTAAAAGACACATGTCCAGCTACAGTTCAAGAGACAAAACCAACCCAACAGTGATGCTAATGATGTGATTGTAAAGWGGCGTTTTGGATGAAAACTGAGTGAACTATTTAAGTAAAAAAAAAACACTAAAGAGGTGCTTTCTGTTCTGCATTATTCGGTAATGGCAAAAACACACATCCATCCACTTTCAGGGATTTATTCAGCCAGTTGCACTCTGTTGCACATTCAAGAACCTTCTGTCCAGCTCAACAGAGCAGCACGGTCTCATCCAGCTTAACCTGTGAATCCATTCCTGCTCCCCCACTTTACCAACTACCACTTCCAGGTCTTTGAGACGATTAATGCATAGGTCTAATTTGAACTGAGYTCATTCAGGGTCACCTACTAAACAATTACTTAGAGGGTTTGAGAAGAAAATGAAGATTAAATGGAGAAAGGCACTTTACAGTACGTCAAATGAGGTATTAGATTAAGAGTTACCGAGCTGGTGGCGTAATAGAAGATTGAGGCAGCACTTAAACAGCACCAGACGACTTCATTTGCGAGTCAGACTTTCATTAACGCCAAAGAAATAACTACAAGACAAGCAATAGCACTTTATCACTGGTAATATAAATCGTATAAGAAATTAGCGTGCAGAAGACAAAACGCTCYGTTGGTGACTGTTGAGTAGCGGTGCATGTAATTCATGTAAGCTTGCTGGTTGGTGTACAGTGTTTTTAGTCTGATAAAGCTGCACCTTAAACCCAGCAAGGTGGGGCAGGTTGTGGATATGCAAGAAAGCCTTTGATTAAATATATGATCAATGGATATTGATCCACATGTGGGACTTTAAATCTTCACAATACAGCTACTTTCAGTGTGTATAACCTTTTGCACTTATTATTTAAGTATTTATATCTTGGGTAGTTGCTTCAAGGACAAGGGTTTGCACATTTACCAGTCCTTTTTCGAATGAAAATAAGCAGTTCAATGTTCACSGCTCCTTCCCCATATATGGGTTTTGCAAGTCAATTCTTCCAACAATAGAAAATGTGATTGATCTACCTTACATCTGTGCAGTAGCCATAAGGTCCCACTTACTATCCATGCCCTATTGGAAAGGCAAACACAGCTGGCGCTACAGCCCAAAGTGCGTTGAGTTGAGATGTTCGTTTGGGACTTTGTGTCTTGTACTGTCACGTGTGATGGATGGGGTAAATTTGGGGTACACATTTACTCAAACATCCCACCTGCTCATCAATGGGCGGAGGTTGGGAGTAAAAAAAACAAACAATGTAGTCTGTCAAGCACATCCAATTAAGCCTCTGATATCTTGTGGTGTTTCCATTTTCATTCTGTAAAATTAATTTTAAAATTTAAATGAGACTACCTACATGGACTTATTAGTATCCTAATGCAACGTGATTCTAATGAACATCTTGGCGCTGCAGAGATGCAAGGAGCAGATGGAAAAGATTTGAGATTTACATAAACTTACTCAATTATCGTAGTTTCACACTCAGCATTTGCGGGTTTTAGCACAAATTTGCTATAACTTTTCAACCTTCCAAAACATTAGTTTTGTTTCCATTCCTTTGCATATGTACTTGTACTGATTGTCCGTATTGTACAGATTTTCACCCGTTTTAGAATAGTGCAGAAACAGCCTTTATTGTCCCAAGGAGGGGAAATACAGGTGTAACAACAGCAGCATCAGTTCACAAAAAAATAAAAAATAAAATAAAATAAAAAACAAACCAACAACAATATATTGCTATGCACCAATAGTAGTAGTGGTAATAGAATAGAAATAACAATAAAAAATACAATTAAAATAAACAAAATGCTATACATGGCAATAAAAATAAAATATGATACTGTGCAGGTATACCGTATTTTTTCAAATCTCATATTTTTTTTCAAATTTATTTTACATCTGTCTGTAAGGACTATATAAAAATAAATAAATAAATGACCACCTTCTAACCTGCTCTTCAGCAGCGTGTTGTGCCACAAAATCAGTGCTTTTTTTGAGTTGGCTGTGTCCTCGACTGGTCCTTCCAACGAAGAGGAGGAAGGGGTGGGAGGTGTTATGCCCCACCAGTAACCCCCCCACCCCCCATCCCCCCATATATCATGTGAGAGTAGGTCATGTGAGAG